TAAAATTACTCTTGTTTACTTGGTGGTTACCTTGTATCATAAATAAGAGATCAAAGGTTTGAATCTTAGGGGGTAAGATTTTTGGCCAATTTAAAATTGGTTTGACCAGTTGAACCGGCTGGTTCTTACCAGTTCGAACTGGTTCGCTGCATGAGGCGATCTAAATTAAAGGGCCGGATTGGGCCGGTTTGACCTCCGATTTGCAGGTTTCCAGTCGGTCATGTTCTTAAAACTATGGTATGATGTATCGTTATTGATTCCTCCGGTCCTTTAATTTATCCATATCTCTTTTTAAGTATAAGGAGGGGAAGAAAGAATTTTACATTACATGCCACTGCCCTCAAAGTCTCATTGTTTAACGCCCAAACCTTGAAGGCGAGGTCTAGCCGAGGAGGATAGAGTTTGCGTTATGCTATTTAATATTGTGAGTAGGGTTGTATAGTAAAACGAACGAATCGAATATTATGAAATTTTATTTATATTTGAAAAATAATATCATTATTCATATTCATATTCATTTTTTATTCGAATAATTATTACTATTCGTATTCGATTTGATACTAAATTCAAATATTCGGTTCGTATTCGTATTCTTTTATAAAATACAATTTTCAATTTTTTTACGTTTTATAGCTTCAAAATTTAATAAAAAAAACCTTAAATAGGAGTAAAGTATGGATAAAGTACCAAAATAGGAACTCCATATTTTATCTCCAAAATAGGAGATAAAAGATTAACAATACTATTTAGTAATGTACATGATCATGATTGTCAATGTAAATTCATTATAACTCCTATTTCAAGAAAAAAACATATAACTCCTAGTTTGGTATATTTTCAATATTTTATTCCAATTTAATCTTTTTCCAAAAATTAATAAGGCACTAAAAATGACATGTCTTTAACAACAACCTAGTTAGATTCCACGAGAATAAGGTTTGCGGATGATGTGTGTAGGCAAATCTTGCCCATACGGAGTACTCTGTATTTTAAAGCAAATATATTAGGTATGAGTTTTTATATTTAAATTGGAATATGTTCACTAACATATCGAATCGAATACATATACATTTGTATTTATATTCATTTTCTTTTAAATTATAATAAATATTTATATTCTTATTCATATTCATTTTTTCAAATTCGAATCACGAATCGAATCAAAAGTATTCCTTTTATTTACAACCCTAATTGTGAGTGACTTTCTTTACTCACGTAAAATCTTCTTACTACTTTTGACTATGGACATAATGTTTTGGCTTGGCTTGCTGACGTGGATCTATTAGTTACGCAAAAATTGTTAATACTAATGGTAGTTAGTTAGTTGCTAGTGGACTGTATCAATTGCTTAACGTGTATTTAGCTGAGAAGTTGGATGTATAATGGATATGATTTTGAATAATACTCCCTCCATCCCAAAGAGAGGGTGCATGACATATTGACTAAAATGGTAAAATAAGGGATGTACTATCTCCGTCCCAAAGTATTTGTTCACTTTCATTTTTACACACCATCCAATACAATTCTTTAATCCATTTTATCTTGTAATTTGTATATTAAAAAATTATAGAAATTATATATTAATAATCTACTCCCTCCGTCCCCCATAGATCTTCCCAATAGCCCTTTTTCTTTGTCCACAATAGATCTTCTCATTTCACTTTTTAACAATTAAAATACCACAATTATCCTTACTTACTTTATTTATTACACCTCACCCACCTCATTTAATACACTCCACCCATATTTCATTAAGGGTATTATGGTAAACTTTCACCTTTTTTTCAACTCTCCTTAAAAACCACCAAAAGTCAAAATGAGAACATCTTAAGGGGACGGAGGGAGTATATGTTAAGACAAATCAAACAAGATCACACATGACTATATTTAGGCTTACACATTGAGAGAATTTGATGAGTCAAAGTGCTTAGATGAAAAGTTTCAAAAGTCAAAAGTGGACGAATATAGCGGGACGGAGAGAGTATAATTTTGTATTGACTTTCTAAAAATATCCCTTAAAATAATCTATCATGAAGTTTATTTTGGAGACAAAGCTTTTGATGCTTAAAGTACTGGTAAATAAAAAGTTCAAGGTGGTAGAGGGATGTAATGCCATGAAATATACCTAGAAGATAATAATGAATTTATAATAAAATATAACTAATTTTTATTTATATGAAATAAAAATAAAAGCGACAATCCTAAAAAATAAGTTATTTTTAAAGTAATTTTTTATAGTCAAGTTTATCAACAAAGAGGATGATGAATCTTATTCTTGGCTTTTCTGGTGTTTTTTAAATGCAATGGGTAATGCCCCAAAGCGTATCATTATAGACCAAGACTCTTCTATTCACGGTGCTGCGAAGCAGGCATTCCCACAAACCGTTCACCGCTATTGTATGTGGCACATAATGAAAAAAGTTGTTAAGAAAGTGGACGACGAATTGGCTAAAGATGAAGAGTTTTTTTTCCAAACTCCATGCTATTGTTTGGAGCCACT